TTAGTACTATTATCAGAGGCGGATATACTGTGAGTGGGGGGCCCTGGACAAATATTTGGTGGGGCCTCTTTTGCTGGGGAATCTTAGAAAAAGGTTCAAAAAACACTTCAAAATTATATTTACTAACTTTTATAGCAACATATATGCTCAGCGGATGTAAGAACAATATTCATATCCATAAGAATTACCAAAATCCACAATTGCAGCAACAACAATAACATTAAATGCAGCATTAAGACAAGGTTATTACCCAAGCAATTGGAAAAATGCAATAATTTTTTCAATAAACAAACCTAATAAATGTCCACAACTACTAGACAATTACAGACCAATTAGCCTATTACCTTCATTAACTAAAGTGTTTGATAGACTGATTTTAGCTCCGTTAAATAAATTCTTATTAGTTACGAACATTATACCTGATGCCCAGTTCGGCTTTAGAGCAAATCACTCGACTGAACACCAAAATTTAAGAGTCACGGATTTGATTGCGAAGTGTTTTCAAGAGAAAAAGTACACTGCAGCTCTTTTTTAAGATGATACTAAAGCGTTCGAGCGTGTGGCATACAGGACTCCGCTATTTGGCATTCCCAAATATCTTCAAGATATAATAGGAAGGTTTTTGCTAAACAGATCATTTAATATTAAAATACACGACACCATGTCGGATAAATTCAGAATTACAGCTGCAGTTCCACAAGGTTCTCCATTGTCACCGACGTTATTGAAAATGTACCTTGCCGATTTTCCGGAATTAATGAATACCGAAATAACCTTGTTCGCTGATGACACTACCAGCCTCTCACAACATGAAGAAATGATTATTGTCTTGGAATATCTACAAAATTATTTAAATACCTTAAAATAAATGGACTGGTAAATGGAGAACCCATATAAACTCAAACAAATCACAAGCTAAAATTTTCTCGCTTAAAATATTTATAACCCCTTCAGTTTTAACAACTTTAAACAATGAGCCGATTCTCTGGCTAAACAATAACAAACTCGTCAAATACCTAGGAGTCAAATTACTCGTAGATTAGAGATTAACATGGAAGAATCATGTTGATATTGTTGACAAAATCTATGCACAAATTGTCAAACTTTACCCATAAATAAATAAAACTGCATTAATAATAGAAAAAAGGGTAACAATTTATAAATCTATAATTCTCCCGTCTCACCTATGCGTGCTCAGTATATGGAGGCGCTGCAAATGCATATTAATACATTAGAAATTATGCAAAAATATCCTAAGACTGGTTTCCAAAGCTCCCCGGTTTATTCCTAATGCACAAATTCAAAGGGAAATAAACATTTGATTAAAGTATACATAAATAAACAATCGACATTTTTTTTAAATTTAAGGCTTGAAGCTAGTCCTAGCAAAAGAACTTTCAACCTTGACCGTACAGCTTATACACCATCCAGGATATTGTCACGCTTTCCAAATGATCGCTTAAAACTGTCATGAATTGCTGGTGATAGGATTATAAACATTACATGTGATTGTAATAACTGTATATTGTTTTATTCACAAGTGTGGTATTTTTACTCTAAGTTATATTTTTGTATTAAATGAAAATGTGAACTATAGATTAAAACATAAGCTCAAGTAAGTGTACTTGTGCCTTGATGTAACTGGAAGAGACTGTTATGGTCTTCATGTAATGTATATTTTGTATATAATAACCCCCGAAAAACCTAAAAAGTATTTTTTTTTAATTTAAAAAATTATTTTCGTTAACGTTCCACATTTTGAGTTAACCCTTTCGTCGAACATTTAAGCTAACAGTTTTGCTTATTCAATAAATGTTTTTGTTTCCAAATGCTGAGACTAGCCAGCAAATCAAATCGTGAGGAGGCCACTTCATATGATGAAACGTGCTGATTCAACGATGTTATGAACTGATCAATGATTGGTGTAAATGCGTGGGCTCGTATTTCGGTGACGCCTCCTGGATATCGCGTACTCTGAACTCCCCGCTTTTTCCATTCCTGACTGTTCGTAATTACGAGAATTTGTCGTGCTCGTTTTCGGTGGCTCTAGAGATGCAGCACCAGTGTTCCACTGTTTTCCGAAATCTGAAAACTTCGGCTCGACCCACAGGAACAGGGGTTTCTTCAATTTGGAAAAAAACCCTATGCATGGTTTAGCCGCTAGTAGTGTTTACGGACGGACGGACTATCGGACGGAGAGACGGGCGTTTTGAAAAACCGCTTTTTCGGTTTCTGGTGATCCCAAAACGTGTATATCCATTGAAATCTCGAAATAGATTTTCCGCAGTATAACATAACTTTCCCTATACTACGTATATTACTCCGTATATACGTACTATACGGGAAAGTAAAACCCAAACCGTCAAGTGCTGCTTTTCTTGATATCATCACATCCACCCACACATTAATTTGTCTAATGTAAGATTGGCATGGTGTCCACCTAACACTACCAGCGTCACACAGCCCGTGGATCAAGGAGTGATCTATACGTTCAAAAGGCATTATCGAAGATTGGTTGCGAAAATGGAAGGTGCAAGCAGCTCCTCTGAGATGGCAAAGTCAATTTCAATGTTTGATGCTGTGAGCTGGATTCATTTGGCAGTACAGAAAGTAAAAGAGAAAACGGTTATTAAATGTTTTAGGAAAGCAAATTTTCTCCCTGATTCTGAAGAAAATGAGGATTTGGATGAAGCTGAAACAAATGTGCATGCTATAACTGATCTATGATGAAAGGGAGGGTTTGATATAGAAGCTACAGAGTACATCAACGGCGATAAAATGTACTCGCTTATAAGCAAGCTGTTTCTACAGCAGAACTTATCGTGACAACCAGCAAGGAAATTAGTATGACGGCGGCAATGAGGAGCAGAAAGCACATGCAGAAGAGGAAGCAAATGACACATCAACAATCGTCAACTTTTATGATGCATTGAAGAATATAAGAAATCTGCAAATTTTCGCTGCAAATAAAAATTGCCGCGACCGTTATGAACAATTGTGCATAGTTAAGGAATGTTTGGAGAGGAAATCCATTCAGCGCAACACGCAATTGGAACTGACATACATATGAAGTTCTAAAAGCAAAAACTATAATGAATAGTAAAACATTGTATATGATTTATTTAAAAACATTAATCTAAATAATTTTTTGTGATGTATTAAATACGGAATGCAACGAATCATTTTTAACAACGAAAGTGTTCGAAGGACTGCACCTGAAAGACGGAAACTTGTTCAAGACGGAAAACATTGGGACCCTGTCGTCTCCGTCTTGAACAGGTTTCACTATAGTAATATGCAAATGGAAACACCAATCTAAGTATGAAACCTTAAAAACCTTTATAAAAAGTGATGCCGTATTAAGAATTAACGTGAAAGGAAATGATAAAAAAAATGTGAATGCTGGAATAAAGAATTCGAGAAAATAGTAAAGGAAAAGAAAATATCCCATGAAAAACGATATCTACAGAATGTCATCAAAATACGAGAGATGCATAGAGGATGTTAAAACAAATGTGAAGAGAATAGAAAATGAAAATTGGATCTAAAGGTATAAAAAAATAGTAAACTGATAGGGAGTACAAGATCAAGAGGAACATGAAAATTTGTCAATGATGTCCCAAAAAAATCATTGTAAAGTGGACCCCATTAAGCTTGGAAAAATGGGAAAGCTACTGACACTGAACGATCTCTGTTGCCAAATATTTTCAAAATCGGTGATAAAATGTTTCATCTGGCCAAACAGCCAACCATACGTATACGGCGTAGCTAGCTTGCTGTTACATATCTACTTCTAAAATACTGTTATATCTAACCCATACTACGCGGGAATTAACATTTCTGGTCTTTAAATACTGTCAATTATCAAATATGTGGGTCGCTATATTTTATTCATAATTCTACAATATTAGTAAAACAGCGGGAGGTATCCTCGAGCTCAAGAAAACATGCGCAGACTTTTTGGGTAATTAGGGAGTTATGGCACGTCGAAGCGCAAAGCAATTGCCTGCAGTCTCCATCTCCTGTGCATGCCCTGATGTGATGCGAAACTCGAAGTGCGCATGCGCAGAAGATCGATAATCGCTTGCTCTAACGCTTCACCGCGTGAAAAGGGATTTTTGCACGATTAGCGGGTTAGCTATCGACGGCAATCTCGATCCTCTGCGCAAGCGCAGGCAGAATGCAAGGAACAAGTAGTGCAGAACGCGAACTGGGCATGCGCAGAAGATCGATAGTGCTTTCGATTGCTTTAACGTTAGCGGGCAGCAATCGTCTGCAATCTCGATCTTCGGCGCATATGCAGATGCTCTAAAGTGACTTGAACTGCGCATACGCAGAAGATCGACAGTGCTTTAACGATCGATGGTGCACAAATTAGGGAGTTTGTGCACGCCACAGCGGCAGTACTATCGATCTGCGAATGCGCAGATGCAGTAAAGGGATTCGAACATGACCTGCACATGCGCAGAAGATTGATAGTGCTTAAACGTTCGAGAATACACAAACTCCCTATTCTCTCAACATTTTGAGTGTTATATCGATACCTAAAGAAAATTTTGTTTACATATTAAATTACTTAACATAATATCGATGCTGGTTTTGTACTTTACATAAAATATTTAATCTAAAGGCTTTTTTTTATCATAGATTGTAAAAAAATAACATATCGTAATCTAAAAGTCAGTAATATTCAAAGATTTTATGATGGTAAAGATTCTTTTAGCTAGGCTTCACACTAAAGCATTGTACGCAATCTACCGAGTATACAACAAACTATGAACCGGTTAGGAAGTACAACCTTCTCCCAACAGAGGACTCTTGTAACAAACTATTAACCCGCCAATTTCAAAAATTTTAAATATTGAATTATTCGCTTAACTTAGAAACAGCCAAAAGTACAGCGGCACACTTTAAAATGTCAAAATTGAGGATTTAGAAAATTTAAGACTTGTAGAGGCAAGTTGTGATTTTGGATAGAATTATAAATATATAAATTAAAGTTCATTTCAATTATTAATAATAATAATTTATTATTTAAAGTCAATTTTGTAGAAGTGTTACATGTTAGTAACTCTATGTAATCTTTCTAAAATGTTTACACATCCAAACTATTTAAAGATTAAAACACCTAATGCTCTAAGAATGTCACGATGGCACAGAAGTATGTATTCTCAAACCATGCATTTCCTTTATTTCTTCTTTCAGCGCCTATAAAATTACAAAAAATGAGGCTCTTAGAATCCATAATTGAGGATGAAACTAACAAAAAACAACAACCAAAAAACAAAAAACTCCAATGTTTGGTACCTCATTTATCAGTCGATGTTGCTTCACTATAGATAAGCCTTTAAATTCATTTGATTCCACCATGATTTCAAACATTGCACCACAACCTCCTACAAATTACAACAAGCTAGTATGAAATGCATAAAATAATAACTTAGATACAATGAATAAAATTGAACATAATCATTACCGGATATATCTTGAACTTCTACACATTTTGCTGATGGGAAGCGTTTACTTAGAATATCCTTAATTTTTCTTTCTCCATTTGTCGGAGCAGCTGCTTGTTGTCCATTCCACAGTTTAGCAAAAAGCTGGCAAAAATACATCGAACATTATGTTCTCACCGTAGGTTATAATAATACACTGAAATAATACAGTATAAAAACATATTACGAAAATGAAGGTTGATGAATACTAACCGATATTGATCTCACGCCAATTGATCTAGGACTCAAGTGCAACATTTCTTCTTAATTTTGTTCACTTCAAAAAAATTTCCCGACCCATGCTCTACTCTGTTTTCGTGTTACAAAATTTCGCGATTGGTTTTTGTCTTTGACATTTGTTGCCAATATACGATATACTTCTTTACTGTTTATCATACTTTGTTGAAGAGGGTAAAATATACGTATTAGTTAAAAGACATATGTTCAAAGTGATTGTAAACATTCTTAAAAAATGAAAAATATCTACCCGACTTCAAGTATGCGTTCAATAGTTTATTATTGTACTATTCAAAGAAAATATAATGTCGAACGTCTATTGGCAATTCTGAATGTATACATTTGTTATCTGTCATTATATGTGATATAGGTTAGGATTAATATTGTTTTCTTCAAGCGATGAGTACAAAAGCCTTTGTTCAGATGCACGTGATGCGTTGTTCAAAGCTGGCTTAGTGCATCTTTCAGTGGTTACAGCCCTCCATGTGTGTTTTATGTTTTTAAGGTTTGAGTGCGTAAATACTACACTGAGCTGTCGGGAGCAATGCTTTGTTGTATGAAGTTCACTGAGTGAAGTAATGGAAAATTATTGGGATGAATCTGTTGAAGGATCGGTTATTAGCAATGGCAATGAGATACTTCTTACCACTGAACCATCGTCATCATCATTTTGTGTCGAAACACAAAATAGTGATCATCGTAAGTACGTTTTGTTATTTGTGGGAAAAGTGTCATTTTTTAAACAGCACGTATTTATTTAATGTGTGCCAAAAAAAATTTACGATTTATTTTTTTCTGTCAGGAGGTTCTGGAAGAATAGCAACTGTATTTTTAATAGTTAATGCAGCACTTGGAGCTGGTTTACTAAATGTACCCCAAGCATTTGATCAAGCTGGAGGGATAGGCACAGCTTTGACAGTTCAGGCAGTAAGTAGGGCGATAATTTGAGGTCCTAAAATATGTGGCAATAAATTACATTAACTTACTTACAATTTTCAGGTTCTTTTAGTTTGGATAGTGGGAGCTCTCCTCATTCTAGCCAAATGTGCTGAAGATGTCGGGGCAACCAATCTTCAAGAAGTATTAGCTGCTCTGTCAGGAAATACGGGACTCATTGCATGCTCTATTGTTGTGGCTCTCTATTGCTTTGGAACATGCGTAACATTCCTGATAATCATTGGGGATCAATTTGACAGAGGTATGACTCTCATTTTTGTTCTGATATGGTATTATATTCATATTTTAAAATCCTTTTTAGATTTATTTAGAATTATCATCACTGTATTAATTGTTAAAAATGAATGTCATCATAGGTGTTCACAGAGGGGGGCCGGGGTGGCCATGAACATTTTCAAAGGGCTCCAATGCCATATGCGATAAAACCTTTTATTTTTTTAATATTTTGAATCTATGATTTTCCACTTGTTTTGGAAGGCCCCAATCCCCCCTGTTCATGATTTTTACAATTATTTTAGGCCTCCTTAAAAGAAGTTGAAGACATTAGTGACCACTATTGTGTTGTGCTGAAGTAACAAATTTTATAACAGTTATTAACTCAAAGTAATTTGTACCCAGTATTTTAAATTTTTTATCAAAACCAGTGAATTAGGGAATTTGTTTCATGACATTTGGGGTAGAGGCTCTCCAGTTTTGGCAAACATCTAAATAATTCTACCTAAAACAGTTTGTATTTATTAATAGTAATCATTAAATTTATAGTTTAATTCTGTTTGTAATATATTTTATGTATTATTAGTTAAATATCATATGTTAATTTTAAAAAAATTCAATAGAAAAGAGGGCCCAGAAATGTAGATGGACCTCTCTGTTTCTTTAGGTTGCATACACCTATGAATTGTTTGTAACCTCATTCATGGTCTAATTGAGCTCCTTTCAAATGCTTTTATAATCTTCTTTTAACTTTCTAATGCTCAAAACATATAAATCTGTTTTGTAGACAGTGAGCTGTTTGTTTTGCTGGTGAATTTGTTAAAATATCTTTTTATTAGACATTAAAATAATTTTGGGTAACTGGGCCTATAAGTCCATACCTCTGCCGTTCTCCCTAAACTTGAAGAAGGCATTTTATGATGTGAACGTCCATCTTATGGAGAATAACATTATTGCGAGTTTTTGCATCATTGTGCTCATTTACTACTACTGGGCCAATCTTGTCCTCTAATTGTTGTTACGTGAATCACTTTGAGAGATATTGTAGAAGGGATTTTCATTTGGTGGTCGGTAAAACAAATTCATCCTTGGTTTTCAGGGTATGGCCCAGATAACCCATTAGATCACAGTTGAGTATGGTAGCCGAGTCGCAGCAAGGTCCATTTACCATGTGGATTCAAAACTCCTGTTAATTGTGCATACATAACGTGAATGATCTTCAAGTGAAGTATGATTATTACGGTTTTATTTTCTCCTTTTTGGACATTGCCAAGAAAGAAAACAAAATGCTCAACAAAAGAAGCTTATCACAAATTATACTCGTGGAAGGTACTCACATCCACTTACTTTTGAGGATCTACTAGAAAATGGCCTTTGAATAATGGGAAAGAGGGAGTTAGACCTGTCAAGAGAGATTATGGATGTAGTATAAAGCTCAGGCAGTTGAAGATGTTTCCAAATGGAAACTACAGCCTTTAGGGTGCTGCTTTGTTCTGCCAGAAGCACCCTTCGCTCCAATGTAAATGGAACACAAAATACGGGAATTGTCTCCCAGAATGGAATGGGAGGAGAAGAAAGTCTTCAACACCCACTTACTTTTGAAGATTTACTGTCAAATTGTTCTCGAATCATGGAAAAGAGAGAGTTAGACCTTGTGAGGGCAGGTTGTGAATGTAGTTCAAAGTTTTGCGAAAGTAAATGATGTAAAAATTAAGTTTGTGGATGGAAGATGTAGACTAGAATGGTTTATTGGAGTAAGGGAACGAAAGGGAATGATTCCAGTTGCTACAGGGTACCACCAGTGGCGTAACATTTGGGCCCACAAGACCCACAATGCGGGTGAGCCTAGGTTAAAGAGGGCCCGTGTTTATGCTGAAATCTTTGCGATTGTAAGAAATATTAATTACTTAATACTCTCTCTGATATTTTGCAATAGTGGACACAATAAAAGATAAAATCTTCTGGAAATATGATTTTTCTTGCTTTGGTAACTTGTGTAACTGTTTCTAAATCAGTATAATCTGTTTGTAAAATTAATTTCTTATGTAGTAATCATATGTTGATGAATATGAATTTGTTAGGATATTTTTTTATTATTTAATTCACTTATACTACTTGTGTTTGCTAAACACTTTTAAAAAAGGGGTCTGGATAAAAGTTTTGCAGGCAAGCCTGCGCTCATTTCCTTATACTACTAGGTATCAGGTAACTTGATCCACACAACACAGATATATAAATTGCAAAACAAAATTTAATTATATGACATATCAAAAACTGAATTAAATCCAATTTTTGCAATCAAGTGATCTTGGCAAATAATTTCTTTTTTTTGTGCTGTTAAAAATTGAATAAAAATCAAATTTTAGAGTAAACTAAGTTAAATTTGTTTGAAAAGTATGGCCCAGTTACCCATACGTACCTTACAGAACAATTCATTTGAAATGAAGCATTATCCTGAACTTATAATCTTACGATTTCTTATTTTCTTTGTACTAAGTTTTATCATTTATGGAGAATTTTATTTTATTTTGATGAATGTTTCAGTTTTATCATCTCTTCATGGAGCGGATTTTTGTCACTACTGGTACATGAATCGGCGTTTCACAATTTCTATCAGTAGTGTTTGTTTAATATTGCCCCTCTGTTATTCAAGAAGAATAGATTTTTTAAAATACGTGAGGTACTGTGCTAACCATTTTACTTTATAAATGTTCATTTTTAGGGCTGAATTTTATATATTCTTTTTCTTCTAGTTCAGTAGGTGTGGGTGCTGTTCTGTATGTTGTGGCTTTGATTGTGTATGAAAAGTATACTGGTGGTTTTATTCCTGGACCTATTAAAACGGTTCCTGATCATTGGACTGATGTCTTCCTTGTAGTTCCAGTCATTTGCTTTGGCTATCAGGTAAATCTTGACAAAACCAAGTGAATTTATTTAATCAACAGTAATGTAAATAATATAATATGAAATAAGTTGCCCACATATTTTATTTGAATATACTTTTGAAAATTAATTTTATTAATACTACCCTGCTCTGTACTCTACGTCAAATCAAATACTGAGTATTAGTTTTAATTTTGAAGTGTAGTACAATACAGGTATTGTGGCAGAGACAGGAACCATCATTTAGTTTACCTTGGCCTCTCTCTCCAATTTAACGACAGGCATGTAGCAGCTAATTTTGAATATAAGATGATTTGAGTCATTGAAAAAGATGAAAATTGAATAAGCCTTGGCCATGAGCATGTACAGGCTTTAGCATTCTTGGCTAATTCGACATCTGGCATTCAGGAATTCCAAAACTTACTTATAGGTATGGTTTAGGATGTCTCAATCTATAAAATTCACAAATTATTGCGAAGGAAACAAATTTGTGCTCTCAAATTAGGATTCGGGGCATAACGGGCGAGGGGTAACAAAAACTAAACTACTAAAATTATAATTTAGAACCAAGTAAAGAAACACCAAAACAGGGCGTGATATTCGGTTAAGAGTGCTGAATCAAACAGATGACCAAAGAAACAACGAAAAAGTCAGGAATATCGCAGTAGCAATTAAGAGGGCCGAAACCATAGACTAAGGAGGTTACATATTACTAAAACTCTAGTACTCTATATAATTTCTCTCCGGAACATAGGAACAGATCTTTGGGCCTGATTCTATTGATGATGGTGAATTAAAAATGATGTAAGATATAATTTAACCCATGAAATAATGATTAATGGTAAAAACCATATGTGAATGTGGTACTCTTTACTCTGTAAATGTGAAAACACTTGAATGTATTGTGGAAACCTGTGTATACATTCATAATGCAGCATAACAAATCGTAGTCACTTGAGATAGTTCAATTTTTATTTATGTTAGATTTCTCTGAATTTTATTTCACAGCTGGTTGTGACTAGTCGTTTGAATTGGAAGTCAATAAATTTTAAAATCATATTTTTATTTATGTGCATACTTGAAGTCCTAATTTGTCACCTCACTAAATGTGCTGATGCAATTAAGTTTTCTGTTACCTGTGAACGAAAATGTCTAGTATCTACAAATGTTGCTTATCTTGTGCTTTTTAAAATTTTTATTATTATATACATTTTTCTTTTTTTAATTTTTATTCATATTTCAACTACTTAGAGTTCAAATGTTGGGAGGGGGTTTCTGGAATTCAAATAAACTTGCACAATTAATTTTTTCCCCCATACGTCACATACAGTTTTTACTGTTCTTCTTCTTCGACGGTTTCTACCTCTTATAGTTTGCCGTGTTTTTACTGTTTGTTGGCTAAATAAATAAAGGATTTGTGAAAAAAAAATTTCTTTGAATTATTAAATTTACTGGATTTACAACTGCAGGAACACAGAACTCTTTGTTTATAAGTACACCAACAGTGCAAAATTGATAATACAATATGTTTTTCTTCAAATATTACAGTTATTGAATACATTGTCAATATTTTGAAATAGCATCTACAAAATTGCCAGTTTTGATAGTATGAATATTTTGTTTACAAGTTTGCTTTTATATGTTGTATTTCACAACCATCATTAGAAGAATGCATGGGTTGTTGGTCATAAGATTTTGCCATCATTGGGGCTGTATATATTGACAACATGGTTAGAACAATGTATAGCACAATGAATATTGCCAAGTTTGTTTTGTTTTTATGAGTGATATGGAATTAGTAGCCAAATCATTATTATAAATTATCTATTTGAAGAAAGGTAATTGTTGATTTGAGATGAGAGATGAGGGTACTGATTTTGTTTTTTTAATGAAGACTAGTGGTCTATAGCATAAAAAAGGTTCATAAACAAACTCCACACAAAATTGTTGTCAAAAAAGAAGAACACATACTACTCAAGAACAACAAATAAAATACTCATATAAAACTGCAATAAATCAATTTTACAAAAACGTCTCCATGTATATTGCAATAACATGGTATAGTATACACAAATTAATATATTGTTCTTTACATACCAAGAATGTAAAAAAGTAGCTGATCAATAACATGTAAATATTACATGTGGGTGCCCTGTTCATTGGAGGTTTCCCTGTGTTGCTATAAGTTGCTATATGTGAGAATTCAGTCATAAAGGGCAGTGTGAGAAAGGATAGAATAATAAATTATTCATATTTTTCAAAATGGAAACAGTTTTATTGATTTTGGATTATTCACAAGTTCTTGGGTATCTAACGTAGATACCTCTCACATGCTCAGAAGCTTCAAAGTCCAATTACTGTGCGCACTGGATATTAGTAATATAGATTCTGATTTAAATACACTATGCATATGTTATCATAACTTTAAAGAAATAGCTGTGGAGATTGAATAATTGTTTCCCTATAATTCTGAAATGCTACGTGCCAAACTTGTAGAGAAATTTTGTTTATGAATCTTTGAGATTCAATGATTCTTTCTTTATTCAGTTAAATTAAGAAGACTACACCCAACTGTTTGCATTCACATAGAATTTGTAAAGACTGATGCAAGTGCAGTAAATTTTCTGTAATCCTTTTCTTCTTTTTCAGTGCCATGTTAGTATTATTCCCATCTATTCATGTCTTCGGCATCGGAATATGAGGAATTTTGCATGCAGCTCGATGACTGCTATTGCAATTTGTGTCATCTGCTACAGTATTGCTGGTGTGTTTGGTTACTTGACATTTGGCTCCAATGTTGCAATTGACATTTTACTGGGATATGGTGGTTCCAATCCGCTTGTACTTTTTGGGATTGCTGCCATTGCTATTAAAACATTTACTACTTACCCAATTTTATTGTTTTGTGGAAGGTAGGTTGTGGGAGATTTTCCTTCTAAGAATGAAATTTGTTCTAATATTAAGAAAGTTTTACTAACTGAAGTGTGCATATAATTTTAGGGAAGCTGTCAGTACTCTCCTTACATTTGTGCCTTGGCTGAGAAGCAATGATGTGGCTGTGACTGAACGAAAACGAAGAATTATTATAGCCAGTATTTGGTTTTTCCTTTCATTGATATTCTCAGTTATCATTCCAGATATTCAAATTGTTATTAGTATATTGGGATCTCTGGCTGCTGTATTTATTTTCATCTTTCCAGGTAATTGTCATTTTTTATGGCCCCATAAGTTACATTAGTATTCCCTGTATAATTTTTGCAAGCTGAATAAACTTATAATCAATTTAGAAGCTGAGGAAAGATATCATTGGGAGAAATCTTGTTTGGGCAGTCGCCAAATAACTTTTATGAAATGTAATAATATTATTTATATGATCGTGTGGTACACGCTGCTTGATTAAAAAAAACACTTGACTTTTTTTAAACTTTCTTTTACAATTTTGTTACACAGAAATTGTATTAGTTTCTGTAATTTGCTTGTGTCCATTTCTTCCATGTGCTACATGTCACCACATTAATGAAATGCGACTTTTTGTTTTAGGGATTTGTTTATTACAGTCAACACTGCATCGTGATCCATTCATAATCTTAAATATTGACCGAATTTTTATATTACTCGCTTCTTTGTTTTTCCTGCTTGGTGCCTTCATTATTGGAGTGGTTATAAGTCAAATCCCAGAGGAGATCGCCAAGGAGTCTTCCAAGACACTTTTATGTACTTAGATAGAATTATATTTAATCACCTCACTATTGAGGCAGGAACTCTGCACTTGTATTATTTTTTATTTATATTGAAGTAATGATTGCCATTATGATGATGTGAAACTGATCAATTTTCCTTATATATTGACGTTTATTGAATGCATTTGCACTGTCTCAATATTTATTATTATAGTATCATTTATGACAATTTTGTATACATAAATGTTCTTACCTAATATATTACTGTAAGGGACCATACTGATGTATTTTTAAAGTTGAAAGTATTTTGATATACCACTTACTAATGTTACATATTGTGAAAAATTATACTCATTGAATGTATCTCACTTGTTTTTGTGCACTATTGTGTATCCAGTTTGTTTCTCTTATATCAGCCCTGATAACTTATGTAGGGTGTTATGGACAATAATGAAAATAAGACTGCATTTTGATGATATTGTGTTGTTTTCATTTCTTTACTGTTTCCTTCTCTAACCCTAAATATTCAAAACCTCAAATTTGTCATTAATATGCATTTCAAAATTCAGGCATGTTTTCAAGTCGCTGAAAAAATCCTGCAATATATAAACTCAAATAGATAGTGTCTTTTGAAAGAAAACACGTGTATAAAATACTAACAAATAATAAATGCAACTCAAACTTCATTTCATATTACAAAACAAAATTTGATCCTAAAAAAGTTTACAAGCAAAAACTATAACAAATGAAGAGTACATTGCAAATGCATGTAGTAAAACAAAAGCTATGAGGGACATTATTAAAAAGACTACAGCACCAACTAATAATAACAGAAAAAATATAGAGCTCCACAAAAACCAACCTTACAAGACCCACAAGATAGCTGATATATTCAAATAACACTTTCACAAATTAATAATAAGTTATCTCTCAACACTCTCTAAACAATAAAACACACCAACCAAACACTAATATTCACAAATTGTAAATTACATATTCTTATATGAAACTACCCTGCAATATTTTAAAATCATTGGACAGTGAGAATAAATCCTCAGCAGTGCATGGACAACATTCAGATTTTCTTATTAAACACAGTGCTCCATGTATAGTGCAACCACTCTCTCACATCTGCATTAACTCCCTAAAATCAGCATATTCCAATTATTCAAACAGCAAAAATTAAACCATTGTTAAAAGGCATAGTTATGATCCAATGAACTACAGACCTATCTCCCTGTTTTCAGGATTTTCAAAAATTCTGGAAGGCTTTTCATGATAGATTCAAACAGTTTCTCAGTGCAAATAATGTCCTTACAAATGCACAACATGGCTTCAAGAGTAATAGATCCACAGACACAGCATCTTCTCCTTTTTAAATGACATCCTTGTTGCACTAAATCGAAGGAAATTCATTGAGCTTTTCTTATATTTGTCCAAAGCCTTTGCATCATTGACCATCGTATACTTTTAAGAAAACTAGAAATGCTAGGATTTGAGACATTGCAGGCCAATCGATCAAATCATATTTATCAAACCGTAGCCAAATTAGTTGCCTCCACACACAGAAAACAAAACCTCATACTACTCTGTCCTCAAATAGATAAATTGGTGGAGTCGCAAGGATTCATCTTGGCAATACTATTCTTATATACAAATGACATACTTTGCTTTAAGAACAACAATATATTTGGGTTTGCAGATGACACAACAATCATCATCATCAAGCGCAAAAAGAGCACAGACATGCCTTAACAAAAAGAGAAACTCGGAAAACTTCTGGCAAAGCACTAGTAAAATGGTTTCAAGACAACGAACTCATCCTAAACCAGCAGACAATCTCTTTAAAATTTCTGAATCTGGGATCTAAGAAAACTCTCACAGCATATATGGCTCAATAAACAATACCTGAATGAATATCTCATAACTACCTTCCTCAGTCTACACATTCAGGAACTAAAAATGGAATGCTCACATCTCAATCTTAACATAGAAGTTCCCAATACTTGCTATGCCTCAACCCCCTACTCCACATTGTGAACCCTGATCATCTCATGGTCAAGCTGCAACATTGAGACATACTTTGACATGTATTTTGTAATGTGCATTCACACCTAAAATATGGAATAAATTTTGGGGAAATGCCCTGAAAGCACTCGCACATTTATTATCCCAAAAAAGAATAATTCGCGAAGAAGGACCAGTACTCATAAGCTGGATGTGTTGCAAACACGCCTTGTTCCTAAATTAAGGATTCTTCCTCTTACCACGCATGTATATATTTAAAATAGTGGTCTCACAAAGAAAATTCTAATGAAAGCAAAGACATTTTAACTTTAAATTCTGATGTACACAACTACAACACCACATCAAAACGATAACCTATATGTTCCCACACGTGAAACTACACTTTTATGAAAAAAGTACAGTAATAGAGGAACATTACACTTACAACAAACTAGGCAATGATATAAAGACATAAACATAATTTCATACATTTAAAATAATTGAAAGCTTCCTGCTTACAACATGTCTACAGTGTAAATGAGTATTCAAATACAACAACATTTCTCTTAAAAAAATATAATGAATAAGAATTTCTTATACCATTAGACTTTTTTTCGTGTTAACTGTTTCGTAGCTCAAGCAAAGAAACAGAAGTGCATTTCGCATCCTGTGAAGTAGAATGAGATGCCTGACAAAATTCTGTTTCTCTCTGATTTACTAAGTCACTTAGTTGCTATATTACATACTACATGTACAAATTGACAGAAGAAAAAAAAAAGAAAAAAAAACGTCTCAAAACTTGCCTTCCTCCTCACCATTTAAATGTTTTAAATACAGAATGTATAAATATTGTAAGGTAATGTAGTTGCTTACAGAATTGATACGTATTGTTTTAATATTATCAATTAATTGATAATTAAATAAATAATTATTATTATAATAATTATATTATATTATATAAGTAGTTGAATTAAAGTAACATCTGTAAATGTTAAATTATCTGCTACATAAAAATTAATTACTGCTGATAACCTAGTGGGTAATCTATCTTAACAAGAATTTCGTAGTATAATTTATTAGAGGCAACCCCATCTCGATCAGCTTTGGTTCTATTTTCCCTGTTCCTTTATAAATGCTGAGAAGGCTTTTTTGGCCTCTTCGAACAGTAAATGTAATTTCGCTCTTCCCACCCAATGACATACATATTAATTTCATAATACAGCTTTAATTGGTAATTTGACTACAAGAAAAGGAGAAGAATATAGATAATATATAATAATAATAATAAATAATAAATAATAATAATAATATATACTATATAATATAATAAATAATCAATAATTAATTTCCAAATTAGAATTACATTGACCGAGTTGTACAAAAACCCATTCACCATAAAAAAAAACAATTAAAAATGAATCCTAATGACTTGTTTTGACACTACATACATTAGATCAGTTCCTTTTAACCTTTCTTGTGTATAAATTCTGGTCTTATTCATGGTGTAAATTTAAATTAGAATATTAATATATTTATTTGCATATTTTATCGTTATTCGCAGTACATTTAAACCCCTCTCTAAGTACTCTAGTGTACTTGTCAAGAGGGGTTGTTTAGCATTATATGCTTGTTTTTGTTCTTGTTTTTTGTTCTTTGTACTTTTTTATACCTGTATTTGATATATGGTCACTCATCATCAACTGTTTTCGCATGAATGTTTTTATTGGAATTAAATTTATCCTACGATTACCCCACCAGGCCAAATAAAGCAAGAATCATCCAATTATCTAAGATAACAAAATAAATTTGAACATAAAATAAAATGATTATTGTTAGTTGGCAACTGTTAATATTAAAAACTAAAGTTATACTTAATTAACCATTTTGAAACATTTGCATTACAATGCAAATGCGAAGATAAATCATTATCTAGACATTTAACAAATCAAAACAAATAGAACTTCTGTGGAATTGCAGTACTTAACATTGAGTTATTATTTATAAAATTCCCATTGAAAAGCATTGAAACATAACGATCACATGTTGACTCAAAAGACATAAAATCATCCATTAACAATAAGCAGAAAATGAATGCTAACAGGATCAGTATACATTTTTACAAATATACTTCTTTTGTTTAACCGACGCTGTTATAACGTATAAGATTTATCAGTAAATTAACGAAATATTAAAACAACATAAGATCTTATGATGACAAGAACTCAGCAGGCAAAACAACAAAACAAAAATGACCCACTTATTCTCTAATCCGTAAACACATGATATAATAAATAAAAAACTACACATGCGCATTGTCAACGAGCAAAAATGATATTATAAAAATGTTACTTAATTTAGCATTTAAGACTTCTAGTACAAATCAACAAAAATAAGACACACAAAACACAAGTTGGTCTATACATGAGATCAATTAACCCAAATGACATAATACTTTACTTTGACAAATTACAAATATTATGTAAAATATAAAGATATGAACAAAAACAAACCAAACAAATAAATGAAACTTGGACTCAGCGATAAAAGATACATTATTTCAAATTATCAATCTTGTAGAAACGCAATACTATATAAGAATAAATTAGTTACTTAATTCACAACATAAAAGTCTTCATTACGAAACTTAACACTCCAATAGAAATCACAATCATCCAATATTAGCTAAACTACAAATTAATTTAGAAATGCAAATACAAAGAAAGTAAAATAACTAACATTACAACCAAACAACTTGAATAATTAACAGAAATTTAATACCCGTTTGCTAACAAATTTTGAATCTTGTGATGAGACGGTAGTTATGTATATGTGATGTATGTATATATATTAATTGACAGAATAAAAATCTGTATCATGACAGTATACGCAGTTTTAATAACTGGCCTGCGAGTTTAGCTTATGTCTTTACTTAGTTACATCTTACAAGCTTGTGATGGAACATATCAAAAAATATTAAAAAATTCCCTTCCCCCCAAAATAAGCAATATTTTTTAATACAAATAAATTGAATAGAACATAAATAATAATCCATTCATATAATACATAATAATATTAATTTATATAGAGTAATAATAATAAATTAATAATAATAACTCACTCTCACTTCACTATTATTATTATTATTAATGGAAACTAGTTGTTATATCATCCTTTAGACTTAAAAATAGAGGGTTAAACATATGTTTTTTACATTTTCACTTTGCTTTTTCAATATTAATCTTATTTCCAATTTGCATATAATACTCGTAATGTAAATGATGTGACAAAGTGTTAATTGTTTTCGGGATGGCCGAGATCGATAAGAAAGTAGTGCTACAGCGATCTCCGAACAAAGGATCTCGGGGGCGAGTACCGCCTAGATTATGGTTGTATTTTTTGTTCGTCGTGTCACCCCTCACCATCACAATATTACATATAACTGTGAACACTATCACTAATCTATAGTGGTCG